GGAAGGATGTTACTGTGTGTAGCCCACACCATACTACACATAGTCCACAGCAATGCTTCCCTTCTTTGGGGTGGAGTTATTTGGACTTGTTTGGAATTCTTCTGCCTGGGAGATTTGTTTCTTTCTCCCTATTTTAATAATTAACTCACTCATTTTATTACATCAGTATTGACTCATGCATATTTATTTCTATACTTTCGGTTGTAATCCAATACTACTTTATTTATTTTGTTGCTCAAATTGTTCCAGTTTTGGCCATTGGGCCATTGGACCTCTTTGAGTTGGCTGTTTCCCTTTGACATACTCCTATCAATGTGGGTATTTTGGTTTTGTTTTTGTCTTTTCTTTCTGGCACTATCTGATGGTCCAGGCTCATCTTGCATATTTCCTTCCCCAATTATAGCATCAGCCATTTCTCCAAAGAGGCAGGGCTTTTTTGTTTTTAATAATAGAAGAGAGATAACTACATAACAATGAAGAGAGGTGGGATGCCCCTCCCACCTTTCTTAACATCTGAACTTGTGATTTTTAACAGTCCTTAACCTTCAGAGGACCTCTTCCCTTTTTTAGCCCAAGGCTGATGATTTGACTTCATTTTTCTTTTCATGCCAGACACTGGGAACTTTATACTTAATTCAGGATTTCCAGGCATCTTGGAGCATTTTCATTTTGATATATACAGGATCAGGGATTTTCCGTCTTCTTCTATAACTGAAACTCCTTTGAGAAGGCAATTCAAGGATTTTGACTTAAGAGTTGAGACAGGTCTATGTTTTTTTTGTTCTTTAAAATGGAGTGCATTATACATTTTTATAGATAATGAAAAAGTTCAATTACTATTACACTTGATATCCTGCCATCTGTCTCTACATTTCTCTTTGAGATCGCCTTGGGACACTTGATTTAAAAATTTGTAGCCTTTAGGGGCCGGCCTGGTGGTATAGTGGTTGGGTTCACACATTCTGCTTCGGCGGCCCTGGGTACAGGGTTTCGGATCCTGGGCCCGGACCTGCTCACCACTTATCAAGCCATGCTGAGGCGGCATCCCATATAGAAGAGCTATGACTCTACAACCGTGATACACAACTATGTACTGGGGCTTTGGGGAGAAAAAAAGAGGAAGATTGGCCCTGCGCTAACATCTGTTGCCAATCTTCCTCAAAAAAAAAAAAAAAATTCGTAGCCTTTAAAGCATGGTGAAGAAGTTCTTCATAGCCTTTCTCTTAAAGGCCTTTTTGTGTATCCCAGGAATGGCATCAATGTGACAGCTTGAGAAATACTTGAAATAAGGCTATTAATTTCCTTACTCCGTGGTTCCTGACTCTCTCTCTTCTTCTAAATTCCTGGACATTTAGAGCCAGAGGCAATGTCCTGTGATTCGGTACCTGAGAGTGATGTGGAGTCCTGTGTGATGCAATGTCTGCATTGAGATATTGCCATAAGCTATATAGGAATAATAGGTGGTTCTGGATGCTACTTTTTCTGCAGTCTGCTATGGATTAGTAATCATGAGGGCTGTGAGTGTGAAATAAATGCCAAACTGACTTCATCTAGTTATACTTCCAGAAGAAACTAGATTAGAAGAGGAAAGAATATCAGATCCTATTAGAAAACTAAACTAGATTAGAAAAAAAAAAATCAGATCCTATTGCCTAAATAACTTTATATATAGAACCAGCTTAACATAAATGTTATGTATAGAAATAGCTGAATTAGTTAATTCTTTATTATTAACATCATTAGTAAATCATAACTGTACCATACGTTTTCATACTGCTTTATTCTTTTCAAAAATGCTGTCACAGATATTACCTTAATGAAAATATTGGTTTAGAGGAGCAATCATGTGGGTAATAATGTGTTTTCCTTTTATCAGAGTGCTCTTTGAGCCACAAAAATACTGAGTTCCGTATCGGAGAATCAGTGACAGAAAGCAGTTTTGTTCATTCATTTAAACACATGTACAGTATTGTTGAAAGCTTCCTTTAGCCATGCAGACCTTGTCAAAGATACAAAGGACTATTGGTTTTTTCACATAATTAGCTCCTTGCCTTCTTATTGAGCACTTACCATGTGCAAGGCTATGAATCTCTTATGCTGCTGCTCCGTCCCTGGTGAATGAAAGAGTGAGTGAAAGTTTTCCTTCCTGCATTTTGATGCTTGCCTGCTCTTCTTTAAAGTCATCTCCAGTTCCTACCTAGATTGTCTATACCTTAACCCAGCCTGGACCATGATCGTTGCATTAATTAAAATTTGGTTTCTCCTGATAAAATAGCGAAACCCAAAATAATATTGACTTAAACACAATAGAAGTTTAGTTTGTTCTCATATAAAAGAAGTCTGGAAGCAGGCAATGAAGTGCTGGGATGGAGGCATCCTGGAGTCATCAGGGACCCAGGCTCCTTCAGGCTATTGCTCTTGTTCTTATGACCCTAGGTGGCTGCTGGAATGTCATTCAGTGAATTCATCAATCCTTGCTCCTGATGGCAGGATGGAGGAAGAAAAGAAGCAGAAGAAAATGCCCCCTCTGCCTCAAGGAGACTCCCTAGAAGTAACATACAAAGCTCCTGTATACATCTCCTTGGCCAGAACTAGTCTTATGACTACATTTTGCTGCAAAGGAGTCTGTGATATATCGATTTTCACCTGGACATTAATGTGCTCAGTAAAATATAAAACAGAAAGCAAAACAAAGCAAAAAACAAAAATGAAACAAAACAAAAAAACCCCTCAGGATTCTGTTGTTAAAGAAGAGGAGAGAGAATATCATGAGGCAATTACTGGTTCTTGTCACAATCATTCACTCTACTGCTACCCAAATAAGCATCCTAGATTCCCCTTACCTCTTGACAAGTGGTTTTGCCAATTCTCAAGCCAGCTGTCATCACCGTCTTACTTGGTTATGCCTACTCCCACTCCCCAGAACTGGTGGGAAAAGTCCTAAAATTATAGGCAGATCTGATGTCATGTACCTGTTTGTTAGTTAACCCCAACTGAATTCCTGTTTTTAAACTTGTGGATTGTGAGCTCCAGTAATCCGTTTCTTATAGCAGGCTGTTTTAAATTTTCCACATTCTGTTCTACTTCCATATTTTCATCTTGCTTTTGTTAGCTTTCTTATAAATAAATCGACCATGCTCTACCTCTGCCTCACTTTTGTGTGTCTCGATGGTATGTCTCCATGTGCCTGTTTTTATCAATAGGATGGAAGCCTGGTGATGGGGCTCCGTTTCTCTTGTCCACGGCTGCCTCGAGCAGAGCCTGAGCAAGAGTACTTCGTGCCCTATAAATACCTGTTAGATGAATTAATGGATCGTTTCCCTTTTTTCTCTTCCTTCTTCCTCCTACTTAGAATATAAGATTGTTTCTATATTTAAAATACTTTCTCCTGACTTTGCTGCCTTCTGCCCCATTTCTCACAGTTCACTTGTTTTTTAAGAAAAGGCATCTCTCCTCACGGTTTACTAACTCCTTGTTCCCTTTACTATCTTGAGCCTCCCTCTGTGAATTTTCAGATTTGTCTTTGAGATTTTTTCCCCCTCATTTTGCATTCATCCTCTGTTCTTTTCTCTTTCTGCCCTTTCTTTGCAATATCTTAGCTGCTAGGCTGCCCGTTGACCTTCAGCTATTATCTCTGTGTGGATGATTCCCAAATATATATAAATTGCTTTTACAACTCTTTTCTGCCTCGCTCTTAAAGACTTCCTGGTGCCTCATCTTAAAGTCCTCTGTCATCTTAAATGGTGAGTCTAGAACCTGTGATGTTAGTATTAGTGTCTAAGGTTCACATCACTAGGGCATTGCTTCTGAAACTTGGCAGCGTAGTAACCCTAATGGCAAAGGAGAGTGGCTTCCTGGGTGTTGTTTTCCTTGTCTGGAATGCCTTTTCTTTATTCTGTCCAACTTCTTTTTCCTTTTAAGATCAAGTTCAAAAATCTGCATTTCACAAAGATTTCTAGGATGACACCAGACCTTACTGACTTTCTAGGCTTTGAACTCCTGCCACTCTCGTTTATCTGTTGCCTGGCACTCCTCATATACTTGTACTGTATTGTGGAATAAATCATCTCTATTATAAAAATGTCTTATCTCGCAGATACCCTGTAATCTTATTCCCCTTTGTACTCCCAGTGCCTGGTATATAATCGGCACTTAATAATGTTTGCTGTGGTTGATGGCGTCCCCTTTTCATTTCCTTATCTTGTTCCATTTCTAACTCTGAGATAGCTTAAAAAAAACAATTAATTTTTCTTATCACCAAACATTTCTTCTCCATAAATGAAATGGAGTGCTTGGGCTGAGCTGAATGATGGATTTTCAACAGCCTGATTGCACTTTGCTTTGCATTATTTGCAGTACATTATGAGAAGCTTAGAATGATTGTTGGAGAAGTAACTTTTCTCCATCTTAGTCTTTTGAGTGTCATCTTAGAAACTTGGAATAAAAGAGTCCTGAAAAGAGCTAGTAGGATTTTGTGAAAACACGTTAACAAAGTTTTGCATTGGAGAGTTCAAGATAGGGTAAGGGGCAGAGGGAGAGAAAGAGAGTGAAAGAGAGAATATGAATAAATGAGAATGAATGTGCAAATGCACACCCACCAGACCCACACCGCTTGGTAAATAATGTCAGGATGTCAAACCAGCTAGGTGGGAGGGTAGTTGGATCAAAGTGATGGGTATATCATAAGGATGAGAATTCATATCAACAGCATTTCTGCTTCCCACCCCCTACAGAAAGAAGCTCACCCAATTGTTTTTGTGTTAAATTGTTTTTATAATAAATTCCTCAGCAATATAGTAATGTGATGGACATAGTGAATAAAGCAGATCCAGTTAATCTAGGATGTCTTTTAAAACTAAGCTATGAGAAATTAGCTGTGGTTGAAATTTAGCTCTGTACAGACTGAAATTCTGGAGTATTAGAGTGTGATTGCAGACTCAAATTAGGGGAACAGAAGGGTCAGTTCACTTATTTATTTCATTTTACGTTTTTTTCCATAGGGAATTTGAAGTACTGCCTTGTGATTCTGAATCAGCCTTTGGATAAATATTTTCGTCATCTTTGGAGCAAAGGTAATCTTAATTAGCATTCATGTTTCTTTGCTTTCTTACTCTATTTGGGACTAACATGACTATTAAATATCCTGGAACCTACGTGTAATACCAAAAAGTGGAATTCATAATAAGGTGATTTAATTAATGAATTATAAGAAGAATCCATTGTTACTTCTCTGTTAATCTGTTTATATACATGGTTTCCGCAGCCTGGACCCCCAAGGACAGAATTACAGTGTAGCGTCACTCTGCTGCGTTTTGGATCTATTAAGTGGATGTTAGTCCTGAGCGCTCAACAAGTATTTGTTCAAGTGTAAATATTTTTGGCACCAGTGACAGCAGAAAGCATCCACAAGCCTCCCTTGTCCCAGCATCCAACAATAAGATACCTGCAGGGTGACTGGATTTGCAAAATTAAGAAAGAAGACATGTTACCCATATATTAGCATCTCTAGGGATGCTGAAAAGTATAGTTAAAAATGGGATGGTTTCACAGAATTGATGCTTCTGTGAGGTTTCATGTAAGCAACAGGCTTTTTTTAACTATTTACATTGTTCTTCCATTTTTATAGGGTTAGCTCTAGGCCAGAAAATAACATTAAGTATCATTTGCTGTTTGAACCTCTGTTCTTCTTCCATGAAATCTTGAGTATTTTTCAAAGGGACACTTCTGCTAAGTTATGAATGTGTGTCTTCAGCCAAATTAGATAGGCAGAAGAACTTGATTCTTGATGTGTTGATGAGTATTCCTCATCCTCTCTTATCATCTCAGAACTCTTTAGCATTCTCAACATTAAGGTTATGCAAACCTATTATGCTAATAAGCTCGCATTTGTGGACAGAGGTAGTTGTGATACTAGAGGGAACAAATCATCACAGATGATTTTGTATAAAGAATTTTTCTTAGCCAACTTAGAATTTCACTTGTAATTCTTCTAACATTGCCCTCAAAGTTGGAAAGTTGGAAAATTATTTAATCATTAACTTTTCTTTCATAACACATACTGCTTCCTTGCTTGTAATTAGGTAGTTATTTGGGGGCCATAAGGCTGTCAGGTCTTTTTTGTCACTTGGTCTCTAGTGCCTAGTGCTATGTCTGGCACATAATTGCTTAGTAATTAAAAAAATAAATGAAAGAGTGAATTTAATATGGTCTATATTGCTAGTAAATAACAAACTGGGCACATCCTTTTTATCTGAACTTATATCAGGTTTTATTATATTGTGAGGAAGAGTGTGTGAGCAACTGCTTTATTGCAAGCATTAGAAACAGACAAACAATTCCTTCCTGATGAAGGAATTGTTGGAAACCTTGGATAATGAAAACTTAAGAAGTCTCATATTTTGGGGAGTTAAGGGTCTTACTTTGCACATAGTGTGCAATGAGGTAGATTTTTGAGCTGACTGAAGTTCCTCACTTCATCAGTTTTTCTGCAGTGAATTAGATTTGAAAAAGTCTCATGCCTGACGTACACCAACTAATCATTTGATTTGCATAAAGAGATGAACACTTGGTCAATCTGTATGCATGGAGAGAAGTAAAGGTATATAAAATGTCGTGTGTACTGAAATGTTAGATAGTTCTCATTTCCAAAATAACTTTTCTTTAGGTTCTTGAAATGTTAAGTTCTTTCATATGTACTTCTAGGATAATTCTTGGTTTTCTGGAGCCGTTAACCATTGTAAAAAGCAGATCTGTCAATAAATACTAAGAAAGGTGGACTAGGGTTTTTGTGCATCTCAGGAGAGAAGGTGTGACTGTTTTCAGCATCCTGCTTTGTGTGGCTGTTCTTCCACATAAAGGCGACAACATGGGGAGACTTTGAGCTTGAGTTGTTGATTATTAACAAAAAAAAAAAGCCTAGAGAAAAGTCCTGTATAGAGCAGTATTGGGGGTTTGGGAGGGAGGGCAGCTTTGTGGTTTGGGATTTCAGCAAGTAATGGCTCCAGGTTGCCATGCTTGTTATTCTTCAGCCCATATGCACGACATTTTCTGTAACTTCTGTTCCATGGATATGAAGATTGGTGAAGAGCAGAAATCAGGGAGTGGAAGCCAGACTGTTCAACCAAAATGCAGAAAAATTTGAAGGCTGCTGCATAGTGTAAGTCTCTCACGTAAAATCAATCATTTAACTTTAACCTATGCCAAAGACTTCTAAGTAGGTATTTCCTGAGATTTAAACTTTGAAGGTTTATTTTTTAGTTTTCTCCTGCAATGTTTAATTGACATATTATGAAATTTAGTTTAAATGACTAAAGGAAGGATTTAACAGAGATTAAAATTATAGAAGTTTTAAAATGTCTTTTTCCTTTAATGCCTCGTGAAATTTCAGTGATTTTCTTGAAATATATCCCTACCTGTCCCAGCATTTTGTATACTTGATTTAATCAGGGGATATAAAATAAGTACTTAGGTAGATAGGTAGGTAGGTAGATAAAAAGACAAAGTGTAGTTAGTATGAAACTAACTTTTCTGTAACTATCAGAGATTATTGGCATTTGTGAATGGATATCGCCCTAAGATTTATGAACCTCTTTTTTTTTTCGAGTCAGATTTTCTCTTCCAGTAAATGTCTTTCTCACACTGAAATATGTGATAAGTAAAAAAAAATAGGAATGTTTGTGTTGGAACGGCTCTGCTTGGTTCTTGTTGTAGGTCAGTTTTTCTCAACTTGGGGTCATCAGGCTTACCAGGGTCCTCAAAGATAGTAGCAGAGAACTCTGAGCTACGTAAAATTGAAAAACAACACAGAAATAAGAAACCTAACAGACATTCATTTACCTGGGATAAGGTTACATAGATTGACCACATATCGGATTGCTAGCAGTTTGACTTCTTAAAGTGTATCCTCACTTGAACATGAGTTCACAACCTTTCTCTATCTCTTCCGTATGATCCACAGAACAGTGGTGACTGTGTTGATTAGATTAGGAATCAGTGATCAGATTATGTCAGTGTCAGGTGTTTATCTGCAGTGTGGCACTTTTTTCCTTTAATAAGGAATTATTTTCCTTCACTTGATTTTCTTTGTTAGTTCTCTGGTAACCAACCTTAAGATTACACCAGGGTATGGGTGGTGCACTCTGGTTCGTTTTGGATAGGGCTTAAATCATTAAATCTTTGACAAATCAGGTGGGTCTTAGAGGTTAAAGGGAGGCACATGTGGCATTTCATGAATTGAAATGTAAGCAAGGTCTTTGGTTTTATAGCATCACTGTTTTCCCTTCTGTTCTGTTTGTAATTGACTGATACCTGTTGAGGCCCTTTCCTTGTCAGGCCTTGGGCTTGAAGCTGGGGACGAAATTGTGGGCTCTCAGTTATGGCTGGAATTAGAGTTAGGGGAGCACGGGTGCAGCACATTTCTGATGAAGGCATGAAAGGCTCTGTGGGCCACAAGTCCTTGTAATGAACTTGCTCTGTCCTTGCTTCTTAATAGCTGAAATTATTGTAGTATTTCATTAATTGAATCTACTTTGCTCATGTCTGTAGGCTTTTATTTCTTTCTTTAAAAAAAAGTGCCTTACCTGAATAAACAGTTTTTAATAGAGTTGGACTTGCTCCACTAATTATACTGATCTTGTGCTGCCGTCAGGTTTCTTTTACATGAAGTAGAAATCTGCCGCAAAGCACCTTGCTGTGATAGTGGTCTTGTCGTACCTACCCTTTCCTTCATAAACTCTGTGCCCCAGGACTGTAAGCCTCTTTTTACCTGCTGATTTGAAGTTAAGCTCAATCAAAGTTAGCAAATTTATATTAGGTAAAGTGTTTTTTTCTTTTCTTTTCTATTCTCATTTCTCTATTCAGTGGGACCTCTTGACCTCACTTCTGTGTTCAATGTGTTTATTCTCATTAAAATAGAGCACCTGGATACCTGCCACTTTTAGGTGTAGATTGGTTGAATTGATTGGTATTCTTTAATATGCTTGGTATCAGTCACTATTTTAATCCTATTATATCAATTTTTATACGTTATCCCAGTTAGAAGAATTTCAAGGGAAATGTGCTTTTTAATAATCACCTTAAAATTCTGAAATTACGTTGGAGTTATTCCTACAGCTGACTCTGGAAGGGCTAGTCCTGGTCCATCGTGTTTTTTTCTTTTTTTTTATAAGAGTGTGTTTCTAATATAGTTTTTTCTCTGGCCTCATCTCCCACTGCTATCCCTTCCTATGTATTTAATAATTGATATAATTTGTTCTTTTTGTGTGTGTGTGAAAATAGATTTTTACTTATTCATCTTGCAAACCTCAACTCATCCTTTAAGGTTCAACTCAAATGCCACCTCCTGTGAAGGAAGGCTTCCTTAGTCGCTCAGGTAGAAATCGGTTTTCTCTCTAGTGTTTGTATTGTGTTTCTCTTACTTATAAATGTCACCTTATCCCTTCTTGAGGATAAGCTTCTTGAAAATGGATACAGAATGCCTGGCTGTTGGTGTTTTCCTTTCAGTTTCAGTGAGACTAGCCTGGGGGTCGCTATTGTAGGCCATCCTGGCAATTGCTGAAGATCTCTGTCTGTCTTTGATGCTTTCTAGATCCTGGAAATCCACCTGTTCTGATGTGAACCAGTTAGCAGGCAGCGGGCGGTGTGCTTGCTCTCTCTCTCCTCCAGATTCTTCTCTGGTCCTCAGGCCAGCTTGGGTCCCTTTTCTGCTTCTGCTAAACTTGAGCTCATTTTTTTTTCCCTCTGCTCCCAGATGCTTATTTAGTATTTCTTGGTACAACTGATCAGAACTGATATTTTCATTAATCTCTTGTTCTTTCCTCATAGTTGATGTGCAAGGATCCATCCCTTTTTTGCCTCTGTGGTTTTATGCCTTGGACAGTTGAAGTGCTAACAAATGTGTCATTGGACTATATCCTCTTTATCTATTAAGGTGTTATGGTAAAGTATGTCTTTTATTAGATAGAAGGATATAAAATTATGCAGTTAAGCAGTACCCTTGTCTTCTGACATTAGTGTCTAAAGAGATTTATCATACATTTTATTGTAATACTTATAAAGCTCCTTTCTTTGAAAT